TATAAAAATAATACATATTAATTGAAAATACACATATTTACAAAGAAAATCATATAATATCGCATGTTCATGAAAAATTATTCAGAAGAATTATTCACTTCTATTTCAATTTCAGCAACAATATATTATACTTATTTTAATATAAAAATTTTTGACTGATTATACAATATAAACATCAATTGATTGTATTAATAATAAATATAAATTGTATTATTTTAATAACAATATTTGATCATAATTATAAAACAAAAACGAAATGAAATATTAGCCAAAAATTAAAATTTTTATTTTTTAAGAAAGTTGATTGATATAACAAAAAATTATACAATATCTCATTTAAATTATAAATTTAAATTTATATATTTCATTTAAATATATGGAATAATTTTTTAACGAAGAATGTTAAAAAGAAACATTTTTACAAAAATTATTTAATATAAAATGCAATACATGCAATTTACAGTTTTTCTGTAAATAGATGCGTAAAGATCATATAAAGATTAAAACTAACGTAATCATATAATTTTTAATGTATTGTAATGATTAATATAATTTTTTATTTTTTATAAAAAATATTAAACTATTTATGTGCAAAAATTATTAGTTTAGATTATATTGTATTTTGAAATTTGTAAAACATATTATATAAAAAATAAAAAATATGAATAATATAATATCACTTGTTTATTTTTTTATATAATAGATTTTATTAATATTTTTTATGAAAAATAATAAGTTGTATGAATTAATTAAAAATTTAAAAATAATTTTTTATTAAAAAAACAAAGATTATCTTTATATGACATTATTAATATATCATCTATAGAAAAATTATATAATATTATATAATAACATGTTAAAAAACCTGTTGCCAATTTATTAATTATATTTTAATTTATATTATTTATTAAATATATTTTCCACTATATAATATATAATATATAATATAATATATAATATTATATTATATTTTTAAAAATTTATTGAACATATTTTTATTATATATTTTTTATTTTTAATTGAATATAAATTACTAGTAAATTACTATATAAAATACTAGTTTGAAAACTGATTAAATTATTATTAATTCATTAATTAATTGAAAAAATTTTAATAAATTTAAATAATAATGAAATAAACATAAATTATCATATACTTTCTAATATTCTTTCAAATAATGAAGAATTTATAGAAATTAAGAAAAATAACATTTTTATATTATATTTTATAATATGATACTTAGATGAATTCACTTATTTAAATATAACATACATTATTATTATTATTATATTTAAATATATATTATTATTATTATTAATTATATTAATTATTATTAATTAATAATTATATTATTATTAATTATATTACGATGAAACGATGAAACGTGGAAATTATGTCGAAATAAAATCAAGAAATCATTTATAAATTATAGAAAGTCACTTAGCTAATGATTAATATTTAAAACAATAGACAATAATTACAGACCTCATTTATGTACTTGCCAGCTATCAGACTTAATTGGTAATTAACTTCATCTTATATCTAATTGTAAGTTTCTCCAGTATTTATTCATTAATAATTAACTAAAAATAGAAACTAATCTAGAACCAAACTTTTTTCTTGAAACTGAACTTCCTAACAAATAAGTTATCAGTGATAATAGATGAAAATTGCAAATCCTGAAATAATTTTTAATCTATGAAAGCCGATTCAATCTTACTACTTACAATCATACGACGAATTGTTTGTATAGGTTACATAGTATAAATGCTAAATAAGAAAAAGGAAAGTAGAGAAACGCAATTGGTATTTTGCTATTATGTAGCTTATCGACTTGTCCGGGAACGTTTATTGGCCTTTTGACCTTAGCTTTCACTCAATTAAGTTCTTTTCTTCCTTGTTTCACTGCTCGCATATGTACATATGCGCGTTACATGAATCACGACACTTTGTATTTAATTATTATTATTAATTTCGTTATTACTAACAATATTATTATTATTACAATAAATTATCATTATACGTTCGATAAAATTTACTTAATTTCTTAAATCCACTTGATATATATTTATAAAATTTCAATATATACTGAATGTTTTATATATATATCGATTGTTATTAAAAATCTTTCATTTGAATTAAAAACTTTCCATTGATATATCATAGAATAAAGATATTAATATTTGTAACAAAAATTGTTTTAGGAAAAATATTGAAAAATATTTTAAAAAATTTATATATATTTTAAAAAATGGATAAATATTATATTGTACATATATTATAGTTTGTTAATGCATAATAAAATTTAAAAACAATCTATAATTCGAAATTGTTGTTTAAACATGATTTCATTAATGTATATTAAAATAATGATATAAAAATAAGATAAATTCTTATATTTTTATAATTACCTTTATTTATATACTTATTATATTATTTGTGCTAAATTTCATTAATATTTCATTATAATATCAACAAATATCATGATGAATAACAAGTGAAAAATTTATGCGTAAATTATATTTTTTATATTATAATTTATATTCTTTCTGTGTGATATATAGTATTATATTCTCTCTTAATTTCTACTGATTAAAAAGGTGCTTAATCACCAGAAAATAAAGAAGTAAACAATAAAACATCAATTATTTTAAAATAACGAATTTATAGAAAATCATTTCAATATAATAGTAATTTAGGATAAATTAATTTAAATAATATAATTATTTTATAAGTAGAGTAATGTCCGTTTTAACATTTAATATTCCTACCAAATTGAAAATTCTATCAACTTCGAAAAAAGCTTCGGAAAGTATAACAATTCAACTATTGAATAGAATTTGAATCGACTGATTTTTAATTAACTCATTTTCTGACTTTCGCTCAGGTTAAATTCAAAAAGTCATTTATTATTTAATTCTAATTGCAATTAAAATGTATTATGTAAATATACAAGAAATATATATATAATTTAATAATAAAAATTATTCATAAATGAACAAATGATGCTACATAATTCATCTAGAAATTAATTTAAATATATTATGATATATAGTCACGTAATGTATATTTATAACATATTTACAACAATATTTATAATGAAATAGATTTATAAATCAATATTTATTCTCTTTAAAATTTATTATTGTTCACAAGTTAAAAATTTTAATTAACATTCTAAATTTTTATTTTTATTATTTTTATAAATCAATATAAATATTTTAAATTCTAATATACATTTAATAAATAAGCAAATTATTTATCTTTGAATTACTTATGTTTTAAATAATTTTTTATATTATAATTAATTATATTATATTTTATATTATATTAATTATATTATAGTTTTTAAAATGTTATATTATGAAAAACTATATCTGTAAAATATTTATAATATACTTTACAATAAATTACAATAAATATACTTTACAATAAATATATTTTTTTACATTCTATAAAAATATCTTATTAAAAATTTTAATTGAAAACAAATTTTTTTTTAAAATACGATTCTCCCCAAAAATGATTGATTATATTTTATTCAAAAAATTATTGAAAAAAATTTGAATAATTTAAAAATCATAATTTAAAAAAATTAGTTTTGATTAATTGAATGTTAATTTTTATAGATATATTTATAAAAATTATAATAAAATAATTTATTGATTATATACACTTAAATAATATATTTAAATAATAATTAATTAATAATTATTAGATTAATTTTTAATATTTTTTTTAGATAAATTTTTAAAATTGTATGTTACATGCAATTCATATTTTCATAAACAAATTATGACCTTAACAATAAAAATTTATAATTCAGTAATTCTTAGTAAAATTTGGATACCAAAAATAGAAATATAATACAATTTTTATTCTTTCATCGTGTTTTAATATAAAGATTATACATTTAAATTTTAACTATATTTTTTACAAATGTATTCATACAAATTTTTACTAAAAAATGTAAAATTATAATATTTTATGAAAACATTATATTTTTATGCAATTATATATTATGCAATTAATTAACAATTAACAACCATATTAAAAATATTCATACAAATTCATACAAATTTTCGCTGAATGATTAAAAATTATAATATGTTATTAAAATATATAATATATATTATATAAAATATTATATTTTTGTGCAATTATAGATATTATAGAATAATAAAATTATTGCACTTTTCTAAAAAAAAAATTGATTTTCTTGAATACAAAATATATTTGATCATTGAAAAAATTTTATTCATCAATATATGCAAGATAAGAATTTCTATTGTAAAAAATGTTTTAATCATTTTTACAATTTCTTTTTTTTATTCTAAAACGAAAAAAGATGAAAAAAATTTAATGCAATGATCTAGTAAAAAATAAAATTGAATAAGTTTTTAATTATTTTCAATATATAATAATATATTAATTATTTTTAATAAATTATGAAACTCAATAAAATTACAGATTCATAAAAAGTAAAATCTAATTTGAGCAATTTAAGAAATATAATCTAATCTATTATTTCAATTTAAAATAATTGTATTAAAAAGAAATGAAAAAATAAAATTTATGTACAATTAATATTATTTGTTATATCTAAAAATTAATTTTTGCATCAGAAATTCTTAAAAAATTTATATATTTTTTTAAGATTTACTGCTTAATTAAATATTGTTATTAAAATTAAAATTATTATTTATCATAATAAAAATAAATAATTCAATAAAATTTTTGAAAATTTTATACATTCTATATTAACATTGATTTGTGAATATATATATATATATATATATATATATATATATAAAATCTGGTTTATTTAAGATGTTCATTTCCTTTAAATACTGTTTGAAACAGAATGTTTAAAAAAATAATAAAAAATAATTAGTATAATACATCATTAGTCAAAAGGTTATATATAATAACTTAACATATTATAATAAAAATAAAGAACATAAATAAATTAATATTTTTTTAACTAAAACAAATAATTATATAGATAAAAAAAATTTATTAAATTTTTTTAATCTTATGTAAAAATATTTATAATCCCTTTTCCTATATTTTGGATGCGTTAAAGGCCATTTTGGATAATGTTGAATGCAGCCCCAAGAGCCCAACTTAATTCATGTCCATTGATCTTTTTATAAAGCTAATAAAAACAAATAATTATTATATATTATTTTAATAGTCTAGTGTATATAAAAATTAATGTGTTAATATCAATGTCAATTCAAATTAATAAAAAATTTAAAAATATTTTACATGATAAATTTTAATATCCTTAAAATTATTTTATATATTTTATTTTATTTTATATATAAATTTCAAGAATTTTGAATATATTTGAATATATTTTTTTCTAAATAGACTATATACTAGAGTATATAGATAATGCGACATAAATCCCGCATTCCATCAAATTTTATAATATATTAATATATTTGTGAATATACTTTATATACTTTAGAAACTTGATGTTAGAGGTCAATACAGATGCAAAAATCTGTTGAAGTTTATTTATTAAATTATAACTTATTTATTAAATTATAATCTAAATTTACATTCAATAAAATAAAGGAGTAGAATGTGATGCAGTATAATAGAGATAGAATCGTCTTATTTTATATCGCTTTGTGAAACACAAATTTCAATTATTTATAACTTAGTAAATAAGTTTCATCTGACACTTTTTTAAACATAAACTTTTATGTTGATTTTGATCTTCTAGAATCGATCTTCTACAAGTATCTCATGAATATATTAAGAATCATGAATATATTAATATATTAATTTTATATCTATGATACTTAAATTGTATTCTTACATAAAGTTTTGTAGTTGGATCCAGACCAAATCCATCACGAAGAAGAATATAAATAAATGTCAAATCGAGACAAGTGAAAGGTTGCTCAGTATTTGGATAATCACAAGCATCCATTGCTTGTTTCAGAAATGCACTTACTTGAGTAATTCCACCAGAAAAAGGATCAACAAGACTTACCTGTGAAATATCAATAATACGAAATAAAATCTACAATTTCAATTTTTTATTAATTAATCAATTTTTATGAATTACAATTTTATTATTTATTATATTTATTATCTTGATAAAATATCTTATCAATTTTATGAAGTTAAAAAAAATATTAAACAATTTTTCATTTAATTCATAATAAGTTTACATTCATAGGATATCTTAATAAAATCTTATCAATTTTAAAAATAAAAAGAAACTAAGAACAAACTAAAAACATGAAAATTTATATACAGAAATATTAAGACTTATTTATTAAATTATAAACAATTCATGTTTTCATTAGATAAAAAAAGGCGGAGACAGCGCGATAGAACTATCAACTATACCTAAATTTAATCTATCACAAAATTTAATTGTTTAATAAATTTCAATCGAACTTTATTTATTTTATATATTAATTTTTATTAAATTTATTTTAGCTTTCAGAAATATTAATTTTCCAAAAATATCTTCTAAAATTAACTTTTTATTTCTCTGAATATAAATTATAAATAACAGTATGAAACATCATGATCAATACAAATTGTGATACAGAAAGTCACAAGATATTCAGTTATCAACAATATCGAAGATATCGATTTAATAAAGTTGTTTCCGGAATATAGAATTATTTCATTTTATTCTTATATCTTTATATAATTATATATATCTATATATAATTTCTATATATAGATATAATCTTTATATAATTAAAAATATTATATTGTAAATAATTATATTATACAGAAAGTATAAAATATAAAACATATTTGTTCCATTTCACGTTTCGAAAATAATTCTAAATCAATATCTTCATTGATAATCAATTTTTTCTGCCACAGTTCGCAATAGTCATGATATTTCATACGTTATGGCTATTAATTTCGTAATAATATTGATATGTATGTAATAAATTGCAAATGTTTATTTATATGATTATTTCAAGTTATTTTTATAATATTATAAGATATATTATAAAATAAATATAAAGACTTTGAATATCTTATAAATTATTTATTGTATTATATAAAAAAATGTTTCACACAAAAATTGTATATAGATAAATATAGATATATAGATAAATATAATTGTATATAGATAAATAATTTGATATGATTATCTTTTTTGCAAATAGACATAAAGATTTTATGAAAATCAATTTTGTTTTACACGAAATCACATATTTTTTAATATAATTTTTTAATACTGATATAATTTTTAATACTAATCAATAACATTTTTATTTCTTAAAAATCAATTAAATTATATTCTAAATCGTTACTAGCAAATTATTAATTTACAAGATATTTTAATTTGAAAATAATGTTTGGTATTGTATGAAAAAAATATGTAAAATAGAATCCTTCGATTCATATTTTTCTTGTTTTATTAAAATCAATTTAAAATATTTTTTAAACTCATAATTTTTTATAGCAAGAATTTTTATAGGAAAAAATCTATACATATACCTATTTGTAAAAAAAAATGATAACATCAAATTATATTATACAATTTTTATATAACAATAAATAATTTACGGTTTTTTTCGCTTATATATTAATGAAACATGAAATATGATTTAATGAAATATGAAACACATATAAACACATATAATTACATCTTTTAATAACTTCTTCTTTTTTTATTTATAATTATAATTAAAATAGGAAAAATCTATCATTTTTAATTATTTAAAAATTATTTGATTTACATATCATCTATATTAAATTGATTATAATCTGCATTCAATAAAAAATAATATAAGTTTCATCGATTATTTAATAATCGATTATCATAATCTAATAGAAATATGATAATAATCTAATAAATAATATATATATAATATAAACTTCTGATAATTTTATTATTAATAAAAAAAAATATTTTTTGAAAATTTTAAGTTTTATTATTTTATGACAATATATAATGCAATAATCTTATAAAGAAATAACTTTTTTGTTATATATCTAAAATATCTAAAATATCTATCTTTGTTATATATCTAATATATCTAAAATTCTAGAAAAAATTAAAAAAATGAGAAGTATGTATGCATTTATCTACATATAAAGTAATGTAAAAATATATAATGCAATAATCTTTGCATTATATAAAATTCTTATACTAAATCAAAAATGTTGCTGTCGATCATATTTTTGTTTATATTTATAATATCATATATGATATAATATATGATATTAATGTTATCATACAGCATTATTTTTTTAATTCAAAACAGTAATTAATAATTATAATTTATATAATCTATTTACCTCGGTAGCACGATCAAAATAGTAAGAAAATGCGTAGATCTCATGATCTTTTAAGCCTTCCGGTTTATTCTTAATTTTGCCAACATATTTTTCAATAATTTTTAAACATTCTGAGAAATTGACAATTGGCCTATCCACTTCTCCACCAGCAAAGTTTTGTATTTTTACCAGTTTATGAGTTCCATTTACAGGTCCTTTAACGAGATAATTAAATCCGCCATAATTCCATTCCGTCGAAACTATGGGATTTACACATTCAGATCGTACTTCTATTTTATTTTTTAGGTTTACATTATCCAAGATCAATCCATGTGTTAGAATCTCCTTCCTTGCTGCCATTAGACCCAAGCCCAAGTAACTATGCGTATAAACGCTCATGTTGTGGCTGAAGATATTAACAGAGTATATATGTCCACTGAGTTTCTTTTCCTAAATAAATTTTAAATAAATTTTAATATATTTTTTTATTATTAGCAAAAAAATCATAAAAAATTATAAAATCTTATTTTATATTTTTTTTTAATTTATTAATTATTTTTTTATTTTTATAAAAATAGTTACACCATGTACAATAAATAAGCATATGCATGAAATTATTTTTTAAATACGTATATAAAATTAACAAAATGTCAATATCGATATAGTATTTTTAATTGAAATTATTGAAATATCTTCGAAGAAATTAAAAATAAAATGTTTTGACAAAAGTTGTTTGATATGAAGAGAACATAATGAGGTACAAATATTTTTTTATTTTTTTATAAAAATAATAGATTGCAGATTATAATTATTTGTAATTTTTTTAAATATCATTTTTTTATATACTTTAATATATTATATTATAATATTGAATATAATTAATATAATATATATATATATTAATATACAATACAAAATATATTATAGTATTGTATATTCCTTTTTATATAAATTTAATGAAATACTATATGATAACATCTCATATGTTTTATAAAAGATATTTCATTTTAAAATCATAAGATATTAGGTATTTAATGAAAGTTTATAGATTTTAGTTTTTATCTTCGACCACTTAAACTCTATACTTACAATTAGTCCACGCTGCTATTACGAATCAGATTATAAATTTATTAATAAAATTTATTTTCTATGAAATTACTATCAATAGTTATCAATAGAATAATCAATAGAAATAATAAATTTCTATAAGATAGACAAATTTTTAAAATAATACAAATTATTTTAGATTATATTTATTAAAGTTTTTAATGTTTTGGAATAATAATAGGAAATAATACGCGCGAAATAGTATAATTTTTAAATCTTTTTATGAAAATCATTGTTTTATAGAAAAATCCATTATCGGTCAAGTATGATAAAAACAGAAATTGAAACTGAAAAAGAAAAAAATCTTAATTTTTGTACTCAAAAAATATTCAATACAATTTTAAAAATTTAAGATAAAGTCGTCCAGTTTCCAAAAAGTAGAATTCTATTATTTTCTTATTATATTATATTTTATTACATATTATATTCATGAATCTATTTTGAATATTATTTATCTCATGTTCTTTAATTTTAGTGGCAAACTAATTCATTCGTATAAAAAATATATTCATTATTTATCATTATTTACTGAACAAGAATTGCATTATTAATAATTCTTTGAAATATCTACAAAGTAAATTCAATATGGAATCAAATAGACATTTTATTGTAATTGCATTTAATTTACTCACTTCGTTATTATCTGATATAGTAAAAAATTTTTTCTTATAATATTTTCAATATTTTTAAACAACATAATATTTTTAATTATTGTCAGCTTCAATCTGTTGGAATATCAATTATTAAATTTTTCAGAAAATATGATAATCTATTAAAAAAATTTTTTTTTGATTATTACAAATAATTTTATTTAACTATTTAATTAAAATTATTTCTCATATATTTTCTTCAAAATAATATTTTCGAAAAAAATGTTAATAATTCAATTATTGTGAAGAGTTTATAAACTATATATTTATTATTGTATTATTTATTATATGGTCTCTATGTTTCCGAAAAAATATGAAAATTTTTTCGTAGATAAGAAATCTTTCTAAGATTCTAAGATTTGATCTGATTTACATAAAGAACATAGAGAACATAGCTAAATAATATAATTAAATAGAATAAATAAAATTAATTTAATATCATTATATAGTATAGTATAGTATATTTTGCGATCTTGTTTAAAAGTATATTTATGTATTCAACTACAATAATTATTCAAATTTTAACGAATTTAATTTTCTTATAAACGCAACTCTAATCGATAAAATAATTATTTATAATTACTATAATATTATCATAATAAACTTTTCAAATACATAACATAATACAAATTTATTGTTTTAAATATTATAATTACTATAATATTATCATAATAAACTTTTCAACACATAATACAAATTTATTGTTTTAAATATATATTATTAAATAATTTATATTTTAAGTTTTGAATCAATCGAATAATTAAATAATTCAATTATGTTATACAACTTTATTACCTAAAATCTATCTATATGTTTATGTATATTATGTATATAACAATAATTATTCAAATTTTAATCTATTTTCTTCTAAACATAATTCTAGTGGATGGAATAAATTATTATTCATACCCTATATAGTAAATTATAATGAATTTTTCAGCATATAATATTTTATTATTGTTTTAAATATTCAATGTTTTGAATCGATTCAACTACTGATTGTAAATGAATTCACGAAAAAAATCTGAGACAAATCGGAGAAACTGAGATAGCCAAGAAAAATAATTGAATAGGACCATATCTAACTATCCATTAATGTTATTACTAATTTCATTTAAGACATTTCACATTTTTAAATTAAAAATTATTTCAAGAATATAAGAGATTCATCTGAACATTAGTTAATATGAAATCAGAAATATAAAATGTTATATAAAAATTCAATGTTATTTTTTTTTATTGAAAAAATATTTGATTTAACATTAAAAATAGATTAATTTTTGTTTAATATATTTTCTTGTAAGACTCAAAAATTCATAAAAAATCATGGCGACTGTTATACCATCATATTATTCTATATATAGATATATGCATAGTTAAATATATAAATATAAAAATATATAAATATATAAATACATAAATATATAAATATAAAAATATATTATAATTATTATAATTATAGCTTTATATAATATAATTTGATAGGTACGAATATTTAATATTTAAAAAATGTTGATCGATTGCTAATATTCATTACTAATAAAAATGACGTAAATGAAAAATAATGCAAGTCAAATGACATAAAGACATATATTCCTTATGATTTGCTATTCATTACTAATAAAAACAATGTAAATAAAAAATAATGGAAGTCAAATAACATAAAAACATTCTTGAATAGAATATACTATAATTTTGTGAAAGGATATAAGTTAGAATATATATATAGTCTGCATTCGTAACGAGAAACGCATTAATTTATGAGACTGTATATAATGCAATTATTAATTTATTATTTTCCGTATATATTCGAAAATGAGATATTAATTGCTAATTAAATTTTTATATGTTGAAATTAAGTTTAGTTTACTAATAATTATTAATTCTACTTTTTGATTATCCCGTCTTCCTAAAAAATAGATAAATCAATATTGAATAATATTTAAACATAATTTTTAATATAATAATTTTATGATATTAAATATATTTTTCTGAAATATGCTATCAAAATATTCAAAAATAAATAAAAAATTTTATATTCATCAAAATTAAATAAATTTTTTAGAATATTTCCATTAAAGATTGTTAAAGATAATGAACATATTTTGACAACATTTTTCAATCATTGAAATCGATAAGATATGTTTTTTTCATAAAAATCTTATTTATACATATTTTTTGGCCTCACTATATACAGAATGTTAATATATACGTAAGACACCATCGATTTTTTAAAAAATTTTATAAAAATGAAAACAAATATAAAAAGTGATATACAAAAATAAGATTTACACAAATAAGATTAAGATTTATTTGTTAAAATTATAAGCAATTGAACTTTGTATTAAATAAACGTGGAAATAAAGTAGTTTTTTTCGTTTGACTTTATCTCCATCTTCAACTTAATTTAACAAACTTTAATTATATATAATTTAATAAATAAGCTTGAATCAACATTTATTTTATATCAATTTTTATATTTGTTTTGATTTCTAAAGTCAACGGTCTAATAAATATCTCACAAATATTAACATCTTATATATACATATATATATGTGTGTGTATAGTGAGAGGAAAAGTATTGATATATTATTTAAAAAACGGAATAATTTTTTCAAAATTGAACCATACGACTTAAATATTTTCGGGATGTTAAAATGATTAGTCTATTAGATAATATATAAATAATATATATAATGATTTTTATTTTATTTTTAATATATATGATTTTTATTTTTTTTACATGAGTCTATTTATATATTTTATATAAATAATATTTTATAATAAATTATATTTATAATAATAAATTATAAATATATTTATAATTTTATATATTTTTATATATTTTATATATTTTATAATTTTATATATTTTTATATTTATTATTTATATATATATATTTTTTATATTATATATTTTTATTATATAATTAATATAATTTTCTAAATTAATATAAATTTTTCAACGTAATTTTATAAAAAAAATTATAAAATTATTAAATATTTTATAAAAAATAGATAAATCGATAATTAGATTTAACTTAGATAAATCGATTAGTGCATTTAAAATTGTCCATTTAAAAAATTTAAATCTTTTCACTATTCAGCCAAATATAAAAAATTGTTTGTATGATATATTATCCCTTTTTACCAAACGACTTTTATTAAAAACATTTTTTTGATCATTATAATCCCTTGTAAGATATTTAACTATGTTTAATTAAACGAAATATTTTCTTGTTATTTTTTATGATCTTCTTATTAATTTTTAACTCACAATGAATATAAATTAATATTTAAATATCATAATTTGCAAGATTAATGCTTTACATATTTATTTATTGTTGAATTAATTATTTTCTAATATATTAAAGTACGCATTATATTTAACGGAAATATAAATTTTATTTATTTAATATATATATATATTTTTTTTTGCATAATAGCGATAAGCGATAAATGAAATATAAATGAAATATAAATGAAATAATATAGCAAATATTATATATAACAAAAGTATTCAATAAATACAGCAAAAAATTATTCGAAAGAAGTTTTTCAAACTTATTTCAATAGCAATTTTATATAAAAGTTATATAAAAATTATTTATAATAATTAAATATATAATTATTTATATAAATTTATATAAAAATTAAATAATGTGTTTAATATTTTTTCTTTTACATGTTTATATTTATATTTATATACAATTTATGTTAAAAATTATTTTTTATTGATGGAATGGACTCTATATTTTATTTCTATTTTGGATGAATTTTTTATTTTCTTTTAATATTTTTTTTTTTATTTTTTTTTTTATATATTAGTAATTCAATTTATTGCATAAGAATATTTATGCAATTACACAAAATCTTTTATTTTAATTTGATAACATATATTTGCAATGTATCCAATTATTCTCATAAATTAAAATTGCATTTTTTTTTTTATAATGTTCAGATCATAAATAAAGAATTTATAAATAATTTTTTCAAAATTAAAAAATAAATCGCAAAAAAATACAATTTTAATTTGCGAAAATATTGCAAATATATGTTATGAAATTAAGATAAGAATTTTGATCGTATAACTACTTTTATACAATAAATTGAATTCGAATATAAAAAAAATAATATATATTGAAGAAAAATAATATCATTTAAAATAGAAATAAAACATAAAATCCATTATCAACAAAAGATAATTTTCAATATATTAAAATGTTTCATAAAAAAAGGGAATATTAAATACAATATTAAATTTTTGTAAAAAAATTGTTATTTAAATTAATATAAATTTTTTAAGTATCCGAATATTTTCTTAATATTAAATTTTGCCATTATTTCATTTAATACTTATTATATAAAAATTATGTGCATTAAATAAATAAAATTTATGTGTGTTCAACTTAATGTTTTCACTAATTACAAATAGTTTAATATATTAAAAAGAAATCGATTTATTAAATTACAATCAATTATTTTAATTACATTAATTATAATAAATTACAAATTTCGATTAATTTAATTACAACAAAAAGATGTATATATATATATATATATACACACAAAATAATAATTTCTTGCAAATCGCAATATTCGAATATTAATTCGAATCATTGAAAATATTTCATTGCCATGAAACTTCTTGATGAATTAAAGAACTCAAATATGTTTTTTAAAAATTTAATTAAATTAAAAAAAAAAATTAATAAATTAATAAAATTACGCGAATAATTAAATTTTTAATAGTTCGCGAAAATATTATTAAATATTAAAATCAAAATATTATTTTAAATATTTATATTATCCGAAAATTCTGATTTGAATGAATTTGTATATATAAAATATATATAAAAAATAAGCATATATAATCATGACTAATATAGTATGATTCTATATTTATGTACAATTTGAATTGATAGAGATTTGTTAAAAAAAAATTTGTCGCAAAATTAATCTTGATCTTGAAATTCAAGATCAAATTTCTTTTTTATTCGTAGCAATTATGAATTGAAAATAAAGATGATTGAACACGGAAATAAAATAACAAAAACATCTGCGAAACGAATTTATTAAAAACTCCGGAATTTATTATTTCGGTCATAACTAATGTCTCTTTTTAAATATAGAAAATGAAGCAATTCGCCAAAAAATAGAATGGGTTCGTATATAACGTGAAAAGAATATAGTTTTTCTTTTTTTTGATGTATTTTCGCTTCATTGTTCATGAGCACAAAGAAAAAAAAAAATACTGTTATGGCCTACTAATATTATTGTGTAGATAGTACTTTGGATTTTTTCCAATAATTATTCGGCGCTTATTCCAATATAAAATATGTAGTATCTACATGCTGTGATAAATACTATTTTTTTTGATTCACCAAAGAATTATAAATAGATTTTAAACAAATAATGTGAATATATTATTGAATTAAATAATGAATTATAAATAAAATGAATTAATTATAAATAAAATGAAAACTAATGAAAATTTAATTCTTTTTCTTTCAAAAGAATTATTGAAATGTAAATCGTGATTCTTTTGAAATTTTTTAATCTTGCAATAAATAGAACATGATATAAAAAAAAAATTGTTTTTGAATTTCATATTCAAGATCATTTTTGCGCACATTTTTATTTTCACAGATCTTCATTAATTTAAAAATAAAATTAAAATCATACTATAATGCTCTTTACATTTATTTTTTATATATTCTTATATACATGAAATGTAATAAGTCAGACATGGAACATTATTTTTTGTTGATAATTCTTTTTAATCAGCTAAAATCAATTTCCAAAGTTTTATCTCTTCGTGTTTTAAATAGAATTTTTTTTATAACAGGTTAATAAGAAAAATAAGCAGATAAATTCTGAACCACATAAAATTTTCTATTTAAGCTTATTTAGTAGAGTTATATTTAAAAAATGAAAAAACTACTTTATATTTCAATTCCCTTAATATAATATTCCCTAATAAATATTCTGCTAAAAAAAATTGCTATATTTTATATATATATAAACTTGCATGAAATTTTAAATATGTATAAAATACTTATTTTTATTTTTTTAATGTATTTTTCTAACGAGAGAATCTATCTTTTCAAAAAAAATATTGCATTACTTTTTTTCATTTTTTAATGGCAATTAGAATTATTTAGAGTTACAATTGGCTCTTATAATTCCACATACTCTCATTTAATTAGCTAATAATATTTAAATAAATAATATTTTTAATAATATTTCAATTGTTCTGATATACATAAATATATATAAATATAAATATACATATAGTTTCCTAAAACTAGTTATGAATGAATTTAGCAACATTTCCAAATTTTTTTTTTAGATATCTTTTAGAATACTTTCAAATTATTTCAATTATAATTGGATCATAAAATACAATACACAAGAACTTATTATTTTTCTTGTTTCTTTCAATTTTTTAAATAATATTAAAATATATTAGAGAAATATATAGTTTCAATAATTTTACTATTTATTATTTTAATAATAATATTAATATTTTGTTTTAACAATATTCTTAAAGAAATTTTTGTTTTCTATTAAAATAAATAAAAATTCATGTTTTCTATCACTATATATATTAATATTTTTTCTTGTCAGCTACCAAATTTATTTTTTATTTTATTTTATTAAACTTGATCATAATTAAGAATATTTTATATTTCATAGTATATCAAGATTCATTCATATATTTTATAGTATATCGAGATTATTATTATTATTATATATATCTTTATTTTAAATTAATTTAATTAATATTAATTTAATTAATTATATTAAATTAATTTACTATTATAATTTAATATTAATTTAATTTTAAAATATTAATATTAAAATTATATTAAAATTTTTAATATTATTTATTTAACTATACCTGCATAGCATTAGGTGAAAAAGTCACTTGTGTTGAACCTCCACCGAGATCTAATGCAGCAACTGTATTACCAGGACTATGTGTATTAAAACGTTCCAGTAGAAAATTTACAGTGAACCAAGAGAATATACCTTCATCTGTCCCATCCATTATAGAAATTGAATTTTTAGATATCTATAATAATAAAAATATATATAATATATGTATATATATACATAATAAATATCTATTTATAAATAGCAAAAAAGCATTTTTTTATCTTTATTACTTAATTTACATTTAAATTTTTAAATTTTAATAATGAAATGCATATATATATATATATATATATATTCAGCTTAAAATAATGTGCATAATTTTGAAATATTTTTGATAATGTAAAAAAAAAATAAAAAATTTGATCTACTTCAAATTAATTATAAATTACAATTCTTAAAATCTTAAAAAAAAATGCTTTTTTATATAAAAAATCAAGATCACTTTGAAATTATATATATAATGTAATATAATGTAATGTATATAATGCAAACAAAGATATGATATATTTTTGATTTCATAGTTAATGAAAACAATGATGATAATATTATGATCTTTAGATTTTAATTTTAAATTCATAAATTTTAAATATGTAAAATTTGATTTAATACAATATTAGATCAAATATTTATAATAAATATTTATAATTTCTATTATTTATATATATTGTAATTTCTTAAACATTATTCAAAATTATCCGTTATAATGTTTTACGAAATCAATTTTCATGTTAATATTTATATACTATTATGAATCAATGAATTTAAGATTTGAAGTGATGATTATCTGAAGATCATAGTATTATATTATTTAAAAAAAGTTAAAATAAACTTGATTTTTTGTAAAAAAAATATTTTTTTGAAATTTTAAATAACAATTTGTAATTGTTTCAAAATAACCATAAATTTTATTTGAAATATATTTTTTTAAATTATCAGAAATGTTTTAAAAATCATACATTTTGTTGAATATTTTGTATAAAATATCGAATTATTTTTTCGAAATTATTACTTAAAAAAAAAATTTTTTAAATATATAAGGAAATTATAATATTATATACAATATTATAATATTATATATACAATATTCCTTACACATTTAATATTTAATAAAAATTATTATATATTATAATATTATAATATATATGATATTATTATATATATATATTAATATTTATATATATATATAATATTATTATTATTATAATATTATAATATCATTATATTTCTATTATAATATTATATATTATATATATTATATGCTATATTATATGCACACTACTTTAAGCTTTATACAAATGAAATAGCTAATTTCTCTAAGATGAAATTCATGCAATATACTGATTTATTACATATATCTAGTTTATCCTCAAGAAGAAATATGTATGCAATCCTACTAAATAGAAAGAATATTTTATCACTAAAAAACATATAAAAAACATATCACTTAAAACAAAGAAACTATAATAGAGTGAAAAAAAAAGAATTTTAAATAAACATATAACTCTGACTTAGATATAAAAAGCAATTTTAAATTAGCATATTAAATAACTTCTTTTTTTCTTTCAATAATTCAATAATTTTTTAAAAATTATATTCAATAAAATAATAAAATATAAAATTTCTATAATATAAATTAATCTAAAACATAATAAAAAAAAAATAAAAATTTAATTAAATTTTATATTAAATTATTATTTTTATTAAGTTGTTTACTTTATTTTATATTTATTTTTTTAAATTAATTTATTAAATTTAATGAAAATTTAATTAAAATCTTGAAATTTATCTTAAATCTAATCATATCCAATTATGAAGAATTATATAATATAATATAATATACTATAATGTTATATAATATTATATAATATAGCGTTAATATAATATATATAATATATATAAATATAAATATAATATATATAATATATATATAATATATAATTTCATTATAAATATTAGGATAATTATAATAAAATAAAACAAATTTAAAAAATTATTATTCTTTCATTGAAAATGAATTTTAATTTATTTAAATGTAATATTCGTATCATGTAATATATATTATATAATATTATCTATAAAATTTTTATCATTTACAGATAATAAAATTAATATACTTTTCATTTATTCTCATCACAATCATTTTAATAAACTATGCTAAATTTTAATATTTGTAATTAAAATTATAAATTTTATTATTCATTGTATATCAAGTTTTTTATATGTTTTTAAAATGTTTTAAAATCATTATCTAATTTTCTTTATACAATTATAATTAAAATATTATTATATATGAATATAAATAATTCAAGAATTTAAATCTTAAACAGATTTTCTAATTTTCTATCTAATTTATCTTTAGGCTTCTTCAATAAAGTTTAGTCAAAAGTTAAATTAAAAAAAATTATAAAAGTTAATTACCAATCATAAAAAAATCCATTATTTTTTAATAATTTCAATAAATAATATTTATAAATTTTCATAATGTGTTTCAAATCTATATTTAATATAAATAATTTAATAATCTTTTCGCAATAGTCTATACTAATTATTACATTTTATATGAAACCAATAAATATCCTAATATTAATATCCTAATATTTATATATAAATTATATAATGCCAAATATAGAAATTATTTAATATATTAATTTATATTAATTTACGCTTTATAAATTCAAGAAAAAAACAATATCAATAATATTAATGCAAAGAAAGACATGCTGAAATCCTTAATAAATTTAAATCAAAGCGATTATTTAAATATAAAACAAAATATAAAAAATAAGTTCAAACTTTAGAATATCATGTATTATTAGATTTAATATTATAAGGATATACCTGAAAACCACTTTCTTCAAACATTTTTCGACATTCTTGAAGTATTTCTTGAGCTTTGTGTCCAGGAAGAAGTCTCAAACCAGCAGTAGCTTTCATACTGAGAGGTGTATGTTGCCATTCTGATTGTGGAACAACTTCTTTGACTTTATTTAACAATATAGTCAAAGATTTTGCTGCTTCTTTAGGTCTTTCAACATAAGCACTAACACCTGGTTTTGTTTCTGTATAAAGTTCATCATCCAAAACCAAATTACCATCAAGGATTGATTCATGAAAACTAAAAGCTAAAGCACGACTACCAGTAGAACCTGCATCAATTATTACAACATAAAATGGTTTTTGTAGATTGAAAGAAAAAGCTAATGTATCAATTGCCTTGCTACCAAAATGTATTGGCTTCAGATCATATCTGTAACAAAATAAATTACACGAAAATTATTATTTATTATTTAAAAATATATTTAATTAATTAATATATAATTATTATTTGAAAATATATTTATTTTAATTTTAATATTTTAAATGTTATAATATATATTTAACAATTATTAAATATATTATATAATACATATTTAATACATATATATAATAATATATGTATTTATTATATTTATTTAATATTATAAATTAAGAATTAATTTTTATTAATATAATACAATACAAATCAAATATATAATACATCTGAAAATCGAAGCGATAATATGTATAAAAAATATTCTAAAATGATAAACCATAAAAATAAAATAATATTTCATTTTGTGTGATATTTGAAACTATTGTAATTAATAATAATAATTGTTGAAAAAGAACTTATAGAATAATCTATATAATTAAGTAACAATTCAAAATTATACATATATTAAACAGATTTTTATTAAAACTTTATTGAAATTTCATAAAAACAATTGATATAAATTAATTGCTAATAGATGTTAAAAATCAAAAGAATAAAGCAAAATTAAGTACATTTTTGTTAAAAAAAATATTTCAATAATTCTAAAATGTACTATATTTCTTTTTATATATATAATTTATTGAATTCTTTTTTATATGGTGTAACAAAATGTAATTAATAATTGTTTTAAATGTTATACTTGAATTCTAATTCAAAATTTTAATAGTTGATTTTTATATAATTTTTTAAAAAAAGTTAATATAAAACAAAAGTTTTAGTGCAGGATAAAAAAATTTTATGCAAACATAAAATAAATTAAATATTTAGCATATTTAAAAACTTGTATATTAATACAATTTGCATGCAATAAGTTATTATAAAAAATAACAGAATAATAAATGAATAATTATAGATCAAATATATATGTAATATATATATACACACACAACACTACACACACACACACATAAAAGCAATTTTTATATATGTAATATATGTATATGTAATATATGTATATGTAATAATAAAGAAAAATATTTTTGTTTATGTACTTATTGAAACACTTTTATCTATAATTACTTAATTTTCTGATAAATGTACATATATTATTTATATAATTAATTATAATAAATCATTATATTATAAATAGTAAATTTTAAAGCAATATATGATATAAAATGTTATATAGATTTTTATATAGACAAGTAAAAAAACTTACAAATTTTCAAAAAAAAAATTTGTTCTATATTTTCTTTTTATTTTATTTTATAAAATTATATCCTTAACATAAACTTATTTCCATGAAATTTTTGTATGAAAAATTTTTTTTAAATTTATATATAAATTTTTTTTAATTTTGTATATAAATTTTATATAATATTTTTATGTAATTTTTATTACTATAAAATAAAATATATAAAATTACATTTATTTTAGGATGAAATTTTACAATTATATGCAATTATTTACAAAAATTAGATAAAATAATAATAAAATAATGATTATAAAAATTTATAAAAATTGCATTTGATTTTGATAAAAAAAATATTTGTTTTTAAATTAATGAAATTGTTAAATTAATAAAATTTATTTTTTAATTAATGAAAAAACATATTGAAAATAAGATTGTAATAATAACTTAAAGTTGTTATACATTAAATTATTAAATGATTAAAAATTATTTAAAAATTATTATTTTTAAAAAACAAAAAGTAATAATATAAAAATATTTAATAATATAAATAAAAATATTTTAAAATCAATTTATTAATTATTTAATAAAATAAAATATAAATGTGCAAAATACTATATATTCTAAAAACTATGTATTTTTTTTTTATATAGTACAAATTATAGTATAATTTATAAAAATTTTATAAATTATAAGAATTTTTTTACATTTTAAAAAATAATAGTTTATATTATTTTATATTATTTTTAATTTATATTATCTATTTTTCTCATCAAACTTATTATTAAAAGCATAATAAAAAAATTATTAAACAGCCTGAATATGTACATACTTTTAAAAAATATAAAACTTTAAATGCAATTTTAAAATTTCAAATTATTAAAATATTAAATTTTGAAATTAAGTATTTTAAACAATTCTCACAATTAAAAAAACATATTGTATATTATTGTATATTATATATTTATTATATCTATATATATTATATATATATTATGTCTATACATATATGTACTTAATATTTTAATTTATTTATAATATATATATATATTTATATATAAATATATAAATTTTTTATTATATATTTAATATTGAATCTGTTGTCATCTATATATTCAGACTGTATTGTAATATAGATAATATTACCTATAATTTTGTAATATAACATTCAGAAATAAATTTTATATAATATTTTTTTCTTTTGGATTATAGATTTTATTCTTACTGAAATTTAGCTGAAAAATAAAATATGTTATTACATGCTTATATTAATTAATAAAAAAAAAAAAAGTGAAAAAGTATAAATCATACGCTATTGCTATGTATCCTAAGAAGAGAATTCCCAATAAGACAACAACAACAAAGTATCTTTTGCCTGGATAACTCTTCTTAATTCGAAATTTGGGATCAGCTTCAGAAATATCTTCATCTTTTGTTTTTAACTGAAAATATAAAATATATTAATATTATACTAAACAATTAATGAAACTAAACAAATTTTATTTTTTATGAATCAATTTCATATTTCAAATATATTTATTTATTTATAAATTAATATATTTTATTATTGATTTTTTTCAATGAAAATATGATGAAAATATAACAAATAAATTAATAATAAAATTTCATAAGAATTTTAAAAACATTTAAAGAATTTTATAAAAAATAATTAATTTTAAAATTAATAAATTTTATTGGTTCTAAAAATAGTTAAATATTTTGGTAAAAAAACATAGAATTTAATAAGAATTAAAAATAGTTTTCCAGAAAAAAAAATTTAGAAATAAATATTAAAAAGTGAATAAATCAATTATTGACTGAATAAAAATTACTTATATTTAATTGACTTATAAAAACATTTTATATTTAAAAAAATTTTAAATTTATATTTTCTTTTTTAGTTTTTTAGTTTTTAATCATAAATTTTATAATATTATTATAAAAATAATTTAACTTATGTATTTTTTTTTTATTTTATATTTTATTATAATTATATTATATATTTCATTATAATTATACTATTTTTTATTCTTAATAAAAAAAAATAAAATATTCAAAAAACAAAAGAAATTGCTTTAAATACTTCAAAAACATTTAAAGATATCTTTATTTCGAACAAAATATATTTTATAATATAATATATATTTTATAATATATTTTATAAAATATATTTTATAATATAATATACAATAAACATTTAATATAAAAAAAACATTTAAAATTTTTAACATCAAACATCTTTGATAATAATCAGATGATTTATAGATTAGATAACCTTAAATTTAATAAAATTTGTATACAATATCTATACAATATACAATTAAATCAACAAAAGACAAATTTCTTACTTACTAGAGTATATTGCATTTAAAATGTAATACAAATAGCTGATGTAAGCAACAAACGTAATTTTGGTATCTTTATGCAAAGAAATTACCAAAAAAAATAAAAGTATCGCTTTCTCTATATAACATATTGAATTTTTAAAATTTATGTCTACATTTTGGTAGAATTTATGAATAATTAATATTTAAAATTATATATTTATATATACCAAAAATACATAATATTTATTTAGCATTTAAGCATATATGCATACTATTTAAATTAAATTACTATTTTGCAATTTAAGGCTATATTGCTATTGAAAATATATCTTGCGAAAAATTTTGCAAGAAATTTAATAAAACATAAAAATACTAAATTGCTAAATAAAAACTAATAATTAATTATATTAACAAGTTTCATAAATTATAATTAATTTAAAATACTTCAAAATAAATTAAAATTTATTTCAAAATAGAATTTAATACAATTTTTTGAAATATAAATATATAATTTTTAAAGTATTCGTTTTAAAAGTTAATTTAAAAGTACATTATTTATCAATTAAAATTTTAAATTTTAAATTTTTAAAAAACAAAAAAATATTAATTTTTAATAAACAAAAAAATATATTATATGTATAAATTTATATTATATGTATAAATAAAAATTTAAGTAAATAAAAATTAAGTTAAATATAAAAAACAAAATTTAAATTAAATTCATAAAATACTAAATAATTAAAATATATGCAATTTTATTTCATATAAGTAAATATAATATTATATAAAAGCATATATCATTTTATTGTATATTATAAATTCTAAAAAAATTTGGATAATTCGTAATGTATTCTATAATGAAATTCTATAATAAAAAAGAATGAAATATAATAGTTAATGGCAAAATTTTTTCAATTATTTAAATTTTTAAATTAATTATGCTGTAAAATCATAATTTTTTAATAAAATTAATCAATAATTTTTAGAAAAAAATAAATTAATGCAATTAAGTGAGATATTTACGAAAATATAAAATATTCTTACATTCATGAAATTTTTACTCTGAAACTTACATAATTAAATTATTGACTATTAAATAACATAACTTTTTTAATTAAAAAATTTTTAATATAAAATTAACTATTTTTAATAAAAAAAATTTGTTTATTTAAATAAAAATTATATTGATTTATTTCTTTGTATTATTATTTATAATATTTTAATTTTCATGAACACTATTAATAATTTAAATTCACATTTAAAAATTATATTTATGTTATTTTAATTTTAGGTTATAATAATTTTCTTACTTATTTAAATAATAATATAACTGAAATTCCATTAAAATACCCTATAAAAAATTTACTAAAAAGAAAATATTGAAAACAAACCTTTCTATGTCTAACCTTCATTTTATTTAAATTTTAAATATTGAATTGAATTTTATAAATAAATTATTTCATAAAAATTAAAATAGGAAAAGAAAAAAATTTAATAAAATTATCTCTAAAATAATGCTTCGTAACTCTCCAATTGTCAGCACTACAACTCTCGACTATGAAATGACATTGCAATCATTACTATTTAGTGCTATTACATAGTAATAATAAAATGGCGGCGATAATAATTCAAGGTTACAAATATAATTTTTGAAGAAACATAAAATATCACAAAGGTGAACAAAGAATTCCTTATTTTCTTTCTTCTTCCTCTCTTTCTTTTTCTCTCTCTCTTTATAACTATTTCAACAACTGATAAAAAAAGTTATATAATTATAAATTTATTTAGTTTAGATGATTTTGACATGGATACGATTGTATATTAAAAAAAATTTATTTATACTAATGTATATTAATATAATTAACTTAGTATGTAAATTTATATTTTTAATAAATAATAATATTGCTATTAATTAACAACTCTTTTGATTAATGAATGAATTGGAGTGTTCTAATATTAATAAATGTTTGTAAATAATGTTTATTTCTGTGATAATAATGTTAAATTAAATTAAATAAATGAAAATATAGTATTAGAATATATTGATAGAAATATATTAATAAATGAAAATGATCAATTTTTGTAATCTAAATCATACTTGATATAATAATCTAATAGAATTTTTTAAAACTTATTAAAATTCTTTTAAATTTTCTAAGAATTAAATATCAATTTTACATAGAACAAATTTATGTAATCACTGATTATTGATATAAAAAATACTTATAAATAAAATAACTAGAATATATACATTATATAAGAAATACTAAATTAAATATTTATTACATTTTTAAAAGTATAAATACTATTATTTTTTTTATTTTTTCAAAAACTTAAAATAATTTTTTCTATTTGAAATAAATAAAAAAAATACAAATATTTTTATTCTTTTTATTAATCATGAAATGAAAAATCATAATTTATATTATTTGATTTTTTATATATGTAAAAGGGAAGAATCATCTAATATTGACAACATTGATTTTCTTTCATTTTAGATTAACATTTTTTTTAAATATAATATAATATAACAATTTATATTCATTAATTATTAAAAAAGAAAATATTAATATCTACTAAGAGAAATGAAAATCAGCATTGATCAGTACTGTAAATTGATGCTGGATATCTCTTTCTTCCATAAAAATAAATTTCATATATTTTTAAATATTTAAAAACACATAATACATTATTTCTTAAATTTTTATAGCATAATTTTATAATAACATGTTGTTTTTTAATTATTAAACAACACACTGTTAAGTTATACATATATAAGCATTATATACCTAAGTATAAATGTATTTACAAATGAAAATAAATATTTCAGTAGAAATATAGAATATAAAATGAAGATTAATTATTAGAGTTATTATTAATTCTTTGAATGTTAAAAAAAATATTAAATTTTTATATTATATAAGAAAAAATAAAGTAATGAAAAATATTTCTAATAAAATTAAATGTTTTATTGTAAAAATTATAATGTATATTTAAATTTATATTTCAATATATGAATGAAATAAAAATATATTTCATAAGTTTAATTTCTTTAATTAAACAAAAATCTAATATATTTAAAAATTGTTTTATTTCTATTAATTTAAAAAATTTGTATAGTTCATGTATAATATTAATATGTATAATATGTATAATATTATTGTCTCTGTAATATTATATCTAAATATATAAATAATTTTTTTTAATTTGAAATTGTTATTTTGTATTAATTTATATTATTAAATTAAATTCATCATTAAAAATTATTTATTTATATGTTCAATCTCTATAATTTGTTTAAAAATATCAAATATTACTTGAAAAATTTTATAAATATATTAAATATATTTTATAATATATTTTATAATATATATATACTTTTATAATTTTATTTATTAAATTGTATTTATTAAATAATTTTTTTTATAAGATTTAATTAATATATTCATACAAAGAAAATATAAAATTAATTCATAATGTAAAGAATTATAATTCTGATAATAATTAAAAATGTAGATTTAATTTATTATGTATTAAATTTTTAATTATCATATTTAGTATATATACCATCGATCAAAAGTTTACAATTATTAATGTGTTTTATAATATCTATTACATAATCCATAATATCCAGATAAAATTATGCTATATTTATATTTTTTTAATTTTATTTAAAATTAATAGAAAATTTGATGTAACTACAACTAAAGTAAAAGTAATTTGAAACTTTTGATCTATAATATATTAAATAATTAAATTTAGATATATAATTTTAATATTATAAATATTATATATAATTAATATGTAATAAATAATTTATATATAATAAAATTTTAACTTTTCCATTTCATTTGATTTATTATAATAATCTTATACAATATTTATATGAATAATTTTCATTTAACATATTTACATGCTAACCAAATTTGTACATTTTCTATTAAATTAATCCAATAAATTCCATAAAAAATATTTATTATTTTTTTTATATTAATTTATGATTAAATCATTATATACATAAATAAAATTATATCAATTGTAATTAAAATATGCACTTACTAATTTAAATGATTTATTAATATACTAATCTTAATTTATATTTTTATTAAATGTCTTCAATTAACAATTTTTAAATTTGTTTATTTCAGTTAACGATTTTTAAATTGTTATATTACTATATATATTATATTATATTATTATATTATATTTATATTATATTATTATATTATATTATATTATTATATTATTAAATTATT